CTGACCTGCTGTGTTCATCCAGCTCAACAACTTCCAAAGTGGGCTATCAAGAAATCATCAACTTGTTCCACCAGAGGCCCAAACACCCTCGACCACTGCTACACAACCAAAGACACCTACTGCTCCACCCCCACCCACATTTTGGGAAATTAGACTATAAAGGGCTGTTGTCCTTCTCCCAGCTTACAAGCAGAAACTGAAGCATGAGAAGGTATAGAAAGTTGTACAGTGGTGGTCTGACGTAACAGACGAGCTCCTGCTTGGAGTTCAGTGGACTGATCCATATTCCAGAAATCAGCAGCGAACCTAAATGAGTATGGCACTGCCATCGCAGACTTCATCCGCAAATTTGTAGAGAACTGCATGCCAAAGAGGTCAATCCATGGATGAACCGGGAGATGCACTCCCTACTGAAGTCCAGGACTGAGGCCTTCAAGTCGGGTAACCCTGACAGATGCAGGAAATCTAGGTACAACATTTGCAAAGTCATCAGGAATGGCTACAGATAATACCAGACTAGCCACACAATCACACATCAATTGTGGCAAATCTTTCACGATACAATGGTATACATAGCAAAGTTGAGTAGAATTGCTCACGACAATGCATCCATCCACAGTGAGATCAATGCAATCTGTGCTAGTTTTGAACAGAAGGTCAGTGAAATGGTGTCACCTGCCTCAACAGCCTTAGGTGCACCTGTACCCACAGTCACTGCCGCAGATGTCAGATCTGCCTTCTTGACAGTTAACACATGCAAAGCCACTGGCCCTGATGCAGTTTCCAATGTGCACTCCGATCCTTTGCGGACCAACTGCCAGGAGTACTTGCAGATATGTGACCTCTCCTTTCCCTGACCGGAGGTTCCCACCTGCTTCAATAAGACCACCATCATCCTGGTGCCAAACAAAAAACAACCAAAAAAAAAAAATCAGGTAACATGCCTTAATGACTACCACATGGAGTCCCTGACATCCACCATTATGAAGTGATGTTGTAGACTTGCTTGCCGAGCCGGTGTGTATGATTGCAGATGTTTTGTCACCCTGCTAGGTAACATCGACACTTCACTGGAGGCGCACCGACAGTGTTCTGTCATGCTTGTTATTTACATGTCTCAGTTTACTGGGTGGTTGGCATCATTTCAGGTTCTGTTTTTCAGTGGTTCGTATATCGGATCCAGTTCAATGTGTTTGTTGATGGAGTTCCGGTTGGAATGCCAGGCCTCCAGGAATTCTCTGTTTGGCTCGTGCTATTATGGATGTGTTGTCCAGTCGAATGTGTCCTTCTTTGTCCGTGTATCTCTGATATGACCACAAGACTACTCAGACCCCTAGGTATCAGGGTAGCCCATAAACCAACAACCACTGACGAATGTAAAGGATCCCATACCCACAACCAAGAAAACTAATGTAAATACAAAATACCATGCAAGGACTGTGAGAAACATTACATAGGCCAAACTGGAAGAAAACTGACAATAAAAGGATACACAAACACCAACTAGCCACCAAGAGACACAACCAATTCTCACTGGTCTCAATGCAACAAACACATTGAACTGGACCCAATATACAAGCCAGTGAAAAACATAACTGGAAGTGATGCTAACCACCCCAGCAAACAGAGGCATATAAATAACAAGCAGGACAGAACACCAACACTTCACCAGAGGCACACTGACAATGTTACCTAGCAGGGTGCAAAACACTGCAATCAAATGCACCAGCTCCATGAACAAGTCTACAACCTCATCCACTACCTGGGCTACAAATCTTCTCAAAAACTTTAATCATTATGAAGTGTTTTGAGAGGTTTGTAATAGCACACATCAACTCCAGCCTCCCAGAGTGCCTTGATTCTCTACAATTCACCTACCGTCACCACAGGTCCATGGCAGATGCCTTACACTCAACCCTAGAACATCCGAATAACAAGGACACCTATGTCAGACTCCCATTTATTGGCTTTAGCTCTACCTTCAACACCATAATTCCAGCCAAACTCATCTCCAAACCAGAGACCTAGCACTCGGCTTTCCCCTTCTGAAACTGGATCCTGATCCACAGACTGCAAACCATAACGATAGGCGACAACACTTCCTCCACAACAATCCTCAACACTAGTGCCCCACAAGGCTGCATACTGACCTCATTACTATACTCCTTAAACACTCACTACCGTGGCCAAATTTTGCTCTAACTCCACTTAGAAGTTTGCTCATGACACCACTGTAGTGGATCGGAACTCCAACAATGACGAGACAAAATACATGAAGATGATAAAGAGCTTAGTGGCATGGTGTAAAGACAACAATCTCTCCTTCAAATGTCAGCAAAACGAAGGAGCCGGTCATCAACTTCAGGAAGTCGAGTGCAGGACATGCCCCTGTCGATATCAACTGTGCTGAGGGGAGGATGGTCGAAAGCTTCAAGTTCCTAGGAATAAATATCACCAATTATTTATCCTGGTCTATCCACGTTAATACTACAGTCAAGAAAGCACACCAACTCTTTTATATCCTCCAAAGTCGGAGGAAATTTGGAATATCCACATGAATTACCAATTTTTATAGCTGCAGCATAGAAATTATCCTATCCGTTTGCATCACAGCTTGATATGGCAACTGCTCTGCCCAAGACTGCAAGAAATTAAATGAGTTGTGAATATAACACAGTCCATCACGCAAACTAGCCTTCCTTCCATTGGCTCCATTTATACTTCCCCCTGCCCTGGGAAAGCAACCAACGTAATCAAAATTCTCTCCCACCCCAGTTATACTCTCTTCCACCCTCTTTCATTGGGCAGAATGTTCAAAAGTTTGAAAACACACACCAACTGATTCAAGAACAGCTTCTACACCACTGTTATCAGAGTTTTGAATGGATCTCTTATACATTGAAGTGGTTCCTTCTCTACACCTTCTCTGTAGCTATTACCCTGATGTCAGGTATGATTTGTCTGGACAGTATTTTTCACTGTATCTCAGCACGTGACAATAAATTGTGCAATAATAACCCTCATGTTAAAATTCATAAAGTGCTGAATATATTCAAATTAGGGAGAAAAAAAATCACTTAAGGCAACTTCACACATAAAATACTGATCACAGACGAACTCTGCGACAACTGTAACAAAAACTAAAAGCAACACTGACTAAACAATAAAGGAACCCAAGACTAAATTGCAGAATTTTTTTCCCTCTTGAATTCCTCAGATGACAGAAAACTCCAAGCCACAGTTACACCTCATTGCCTAATTTTTGCAGAATTAATTTTGACAGCAACTAGTTCAACATAATACTCAGCTTCCATCCAGTCCTCTTCTCTCTATTTCACCAATGTGTAACATCAAGTAACCATCAGATGATGCTTCTCTCAGTTTATAACGAAATCCAGAACAGAAAACCAGCAGCATGACCCTGTCCAGCAATTCTTTCGCTGACTGCACCAGGCTGAATCTTCTAGATTCCCTACATTGCTACAGGATGTGCACCATTGATCAGAGGCTGCCCTCCTTCCTGCATTCTGCTTGGTCGTCAATAGAAAGACACACATTCATCTCTTAATCACATTTGGCGGCAACCGTTCAAGTGTGCATGAAACACTTCTATCTGAAATCTGAGACAAAAAGTCTGCCCAAAATCAGCCCCAGCAGATCTTTGTTTCAGGCATGAAAATGTTCTACCTTGCTCTTCTCTAATCTCGATTTGGATGATTCCCATCTCGGTTACTGAACTGAGCAGATTACAATATCTCCACTAACCAATTTTACCTTGAATTAGGAGACGATTTCAAAATAAAATCGCTTTATACCGCATCATTCACAACGTAATTTGTTTTACGTAAACTTAACTCGGGGATCGGATTTATACTCGACCACCAAATTATGAAAGAACACACATTTTAAAACTGTATATAAAGTGGCTCACGACATTTGATTTAAAGGCAGGCAAATCCTTCTATTCATTTCAACATTTACAATGATATATTTACCGTCGAAATTCGACGAGCAGAACCGTCCGTGTCACTAGCTACCCTCAGTAATCAGTCTTCAGAATTCAGCGAAAAAACAACGGCGATACCTTCCTCTAAAAGAGCCCAATGAGGTAAGCTCGCTGACGAAAATCCGCCGATGAAAGCTGCAACATGAAAGAAGGCATTTGGTCCACTACCATAAATCAAGAGTCGATAGTGACAAATCATGCGATCAGAAAACGAAACCGTGAATACTTTACACCAAATGCAATCTCTACCTCGTGGAACAAATACAGCGTTTATTGTGATACATGCACACTCAACAGAAAATGATGGAGGCATTAGACAGCTCCCATAAAGAAAGGGGAAGATTATATTGCCCAGATTTCAAGTCCGGCTCCTTCATCAGCCTCTCCACCACTACTTTTCCGTCCACCCCCAAAAAAAAACCCAAGCCCAGAACGCGAACAACAAAAATTGAAAATTTCTGGCGGGTCGAGGAGGGGATGTCGGAACATAGAACAACTGTGGAAACCCTTGTGATAGAACAAACTGCTGCCTCCCAGGCTTTTTAAAAAACCTGAATAAGATCAAATACGTTTTAAAAGAAAAAAAAATTCTAAATAAATAAAAATGCGAAGAACACACAGCAGGCGACTGGTGATGGAGAGGCTAGTAAACAGCAGGTGAGTCAAAAATAAGGACTAAGAGTTCTGAGCCTAGCATGATATATAAAATATAAATAACTTTGTACACAAAATAATAAAAGCACCATATTTAAAGCCCATCAGCCAGGCTGCAATTACCTGAGCAAGGCCCACTCGCTCCAACGATTGCTCAGGTAACCACGACTCCTTTTATATAGTCCCACCCACCGCCCTCTGCTCTCTGACCTTTCATGACCTCCCACCTTCTACGTCACACGACTGGTTCCGCCCTTTCTCCCCTTCCCCGGAGCATTCTGGGTAACCTCCGTCTTGGGACATGCGCAGTGCGCCGGGTATTTTCAGCTGCAGGTTTTTTTTCCTCTCGTTCTCTCTTGCCCCGCTCCCTCTGTTTCTCTCTCCGTGGCTTTCTCTCTCTCCCAGCTTCTGTGTTTCCGAGTAAAGCCTCTGTAAAGTCTCCAGAAATAAAGCGGCCGTTTCTCTTTTTTGTTATTATGAGTCTACATTCCCAACCGGATACATCCCGAGCGTCTGAAAAACTTCCTGGATACCTCCCTTAACAACCAGCCGACCTCCCGGGCCTGGCCAGCAGCCTTTTAAGTGCCATTTCAGCCCTTTATTACCCTTTGTTTTTGAGTTTTTCTGAAGCGAAAGCTTTGGAGAGGGGAGAGTTGAAGGTAAGTGGTTGCAAAGCAATTCTGGCCTTTTTTATTTAAAAATCCTTATTTTATTAAAATGAAGTGCAAATTTTGGACTATTATATAAATATATCGCTGTGTTGATAATGAAATCTTATTGAAGTTGGGAGTTTAGGATATAATTTTTTGATATGTATATTGCAGAAGAGGAACGTTGCTGGTTCTTGAAAATGGGGTTTAATCTGGTTTAAAGCCTTCTATTTATCCGCCCCCTCTTTGCTGCTGCTGATGATGATGATGCTACGTTGCAGGCCACGGCCATGCGTGACTGCTGTTTACAACAGTCCAACTTCAGCTCTTGTGGGTATCAACCCCGCAGTAATAAGAAAGGTTGTTCCATCTTGATGCGATAATGTGTTCGTATTTGGAATCTCTGGAGAGTGTTTGGAGTAGGTTCTTCAATGTGGTACATGATTTCTCTCACTGTTGAAATTTGGAATCGACTGGTAGTTAAGATACCGTCATGTTTGTGATTTTTCATATTTTGCATATTTATAGGCCCAATAGGATGTGGACTACAATATATAGCGTTTTAGCCCTAAAGAAACGTTTAGAGTTGAAGGATTTCAGTAGTTTGGTCGTCTTGCACTCCACTATTATATTTTTATGACAAAAATACGTGTAATTAATGTTTAACAATGCACTGATGGCTAGAGCTAAAGGGCACAGTAACTCCATGTGTGGATAAATATTTTAATTTTTCAATGTAATTGTTGAAATGATGCCTCAATGTGAATCTGCTTTCCCTTGGAAAAAGTGCTGCCTTTTTTTAAAACAAAGAAACTTTTAAAGCATTTTTAGATGCATGTTAGAGATGTATGTTGAATTTGTATGTTAAGTGTATAGCAGCAAGTAATTTAATAGTTTAAAGTTTCATGTTAATGTTCTGTGGTTTTGCTTGTTTTGAAATAAGAGCAATTCGCAATACATTTTTTTGCAAGTTGCTGAAGTATGTTTTTAGTGTTTGTGAGTACTATTAATACTTCTGTAGGTCTAAATTAAAATCTAAAATTATTAAAGTTTTCCATATTTATTTAATTTTTACATCTCTTATTCTCCTGGTTTTTGCTTTACGTGATTGCCAGTAGGCTGATTTTTCTCCTCCTGGAAGGAAATAATAGATGTAATGGATGGGTTTGGCAGGTAAGATCTCTTTGGGGTTTAGGTGGCTCCAACCTGGTATAGTGAGGGAAATTTGAAATCAGATGGACCTTGTGTTTTAAATTTGGTAATCTGTTACTTAAACTAATCGGGTATGCATTATTCCAGCACACTGTTAATTTGACCAGCCAACTTAGTTTATTTTATGGCTTTCAAAAGATTGGACTTGTTATTGGGCTCCTACGTTTCTTCCCATTTGGCTGCAAATAACTGTGTGAAATAGCTCTATATGTAAGTTGGTCCTTGCTCAGTGAGCATTTGTGATAAGTTGCAACTTTTTAGCCTCTGCATGTACTTAGGAGTCCCTAAGCCTTAGTTTTGTCCATCGGTACTGAACTTCATTGGTGTTGAGTAAATGTGAAGTGTGTCTGAAGTGAGCATTGGGTGCGCAGAAACCTTCGAGGTTTGTCTGTATTTTTCAACAGCTTGATTTGAAGACTATTCCTGTCATTCCTTAGTTAGGAGACTTGATGATTGAAAACTAAAATCGTTAATTTGTTTTTGTTCTTTAAAATTGCCAACTCTACAGATCTGAAAAATAGATGTACGTGGTTTTAACTGAGAGTACTTCTGAGTGCTTTAATTTGGTTTCTTATTTTGCTTTTGGTTGTATTTTAGCTCAAATGAGTGGTAAACATTCTTGATATAACAATATATTGTCAAGTTTAATATTCCAAAACGACTTATTTTTACATCATTTTTACTTCTACGTATTTCAAATGGTTCAGTTAGTTTTGATCAGTGCTAGTCGTGGTAAATAAATTAAACAGAATTATTGATACATATAACAATTTTTATTATTTTGCCAAGTTTCTTAAGCATATGTTGCGTTTTCACTTTTCAGAATCGGGAAATTTTAAATGGAAGTTTGGAAATTTGTGAAGCTTTTAAAACTTTGCTTTGAAATTAAATAACTTGCCTTGGAAAAGTAGTATTAGCATCTGCAGATAGATTCTTCAAAGTATGTTATTCCTGTTTTTACTCTTCTGAATGACCTGATATTAATTTAACACATGTTCTCCTATATGTGTTATGATTAATATATGGTATCTTCTGTCAAAATAAAGATGCTAAATAATTGATGCTACAATCCTTAATGGAATACATGCTAAGAAATGATTCTCTTCAGCTGGGACACTTAAAATAAGGAATGACAGCTGTAGAACAAGGGGTTGGGCACTTTGGATTAAGGTGAGCAGCAGTTTCTTCGCTCAGCCTTTAGGAATCACCTCGAGAGAGAGATGCAGATCCTCTGTCATTGGGTATGTTTAAGACAAGTGTCGATAGATTCCTGGGTTACAAAGGAAATTCAAGATTGAGTGGATAGTGTGGGATGGCGAAGTTGAAATAGATCTTGATGGACGACAGGTCAAGTTTGAAGCACGACATTACCCATTCCTATTTCATATGTTCTTATGTGTACATCAACCTATATTAGATCATGTTGTATATTTACTAATGTAACTTTAGCTGACTTGAGTAAGGCAATGTTCATTGCACAATTTGGTTTTGTTGTAATTATATTGCCACAGCCATATATCTAGAGACTTTCATCAACACTTCGCAACACTCCGATTTATGCTAGGCACAGTCTTATTTTTTAGGGAAAGACAGAAAGGACACACAGACTTAAGAGAAGTAGTTAAGGTTTCAGATTGACCTTTTGTCAGAACTGAAAAAGTTAAATGCATAAAAAATTTAAGGAAGCTCAGTGGGAGAGAAAATGGGAAGTGAAGACAAAAAGGATAATGGTGCAAGGGCAAGGGCAAAAAATAAAACATGGTTTAAAGGTGGTGAAAATTGGGATGGCAGAATCATCGACTGTTTTTGTCCTAAAAAATGAAAGCCAAAATTATGATTTGAAATTGATGAATGTCTGTTGAGTCTGGTCGGTTATGAAGTACCTAATCAAAAGATAAGGGGTTGTACGTTGAGCATTGAGAGGTCATCGTGGGAACAAGTGGACAAATGAAATGAAAAGAGCCATAAACATTGGCACACATATATGGGCAGAACAGTGGTGTTCGACAAGGGAGTCACCCAATCTATAATTATTCCAACATAGAAGGGACCACATTATTTCCAGCAGACACAATGCACTAAATTGAAAAGTTTCAAAAGAAATTGTGTGGATGAAGCATCTGGATGCTTGGAAGAAGGCAATGGCAGAGATAAAACGGCGTAATTTGCAACTCCTATGCTTGCTTGATGGGAAGGTTCTGTAATGAGAAAAAAATTGTTCCATCTCCGTTTCCCCCTTTTGGTTTTCTTGCCAGAACTGTGAGGCATCTTTGTTCTCACCACGTTCAACGAGCTTTCATATCTTTCAGCATTAATGCCACCTCTGCCATGATGCCATTTCCAAACATATCTTTCCCTTCTCTTTCAGCATTTCAAAGAGTCCATTCCACCCAGGTCCATTGTTCATTTGTACCTGACATCTTTTCCCTTCACATGAAAAATCTGTTTGTGGTT